ACTGAACTCACTAAAAAGGTAAAATAAAAAGTCACCATCAACACAAAAATCAAATTTTCATTAATGGCTAGGATGGTGCCTAAACGTAGGACTGGTCTTCGTGTGGCCTTGAATTATTAAATTTTAAATAGCTAAATGATGAAATATTACCTACTACCTGTTTTTTTCTTTTAAAAAAAAAGTCCCTAAGAAGAGAAAGTATTTCATGTGATAGAATTCATACCCGTATTTACACATTACTAAGAAGGCACACTCATTATAATTAAGAATAAACTACTACATCTGACCTTCAAAGAGACAAAATCCATTTCAGGGATCTTGCTGGATCCTCACTAAAACTGTCAACTGTTACTTTAACTGACACTGCATAGCTTTTAGTGGGGAAAAAAGAAAACAGAACTTTTAAATAACTTTTAAAAATTAAATCATATATACTTGTCAGAATGCTAGGAAGACCACTTGGAAAAAGCTATTCTGTTACTTCAACTGTAAACACTATCAGGAAGCAGGTCTCCTGTCTAAATTGGGATGAACTAAACATATACACTGGGAGCTCTGGTAGCATGGTGTCTTGACCACTAACCAGAAGGCTGGTGGTCCTATTTACTCCTTCAGAAGGTTTGACCCACCAGCCACTCCTCAGAAAGAAGGTTGGGCAATCTTCTTCTGTAGTAATACCACCTCAGAAACCCAAGGAGGGGTTGCTATGAGTCGGGACCGACACAATGGCACGTAACAACAATAACAACATATACACTAAGAAGCCATGGTGGCACGGTAGTTAAAATACTTGCCTGTGAACCAAAACGTTGGCAGTGTGAACTCACCAGCCACTCTGTGAAAGAAGGACGTAGCACTCTGCTTCTGCATAGAGTTCAGCCTTGGAAACCATATGGGGCAGTTCTACTGTCCCACAGGGTCACTATGAGCCGGAATCCATTCAATAGCTTTGGGCTTTGGTTTGGAACACACTGAAAAAACTGCTTACTAACTTATTTCCAAACATATCAACCTAAAGCAGATGTTGGAATGTGAACTTAAGGAGGCTGTCATTCCTGGTGCTGCCACACATCTGCCAAAGACAGTGTACATCCTGATGTTGCCAGGTTTGGGCTATAGTTCAAAGAAACGCTGTGCTTTGGGAGGCACCCGCATAGCTTGCATGGGCCCTCCTCATAGCTTGCATGTTAGCAACCGGTGGCTGACTAGCAGCTCTCTAGGGCTACAGAGGTCCTCAGTCAGAGAGCTATCCTGTAACTACCTCAGCCATCCTCGTAGGTGAGTAGAGCAAAGAGTCAGAGTTTGAGACCATTTCTGAAGTGGTTGCTGACTCCTATTTACTGCTTCAGTGACTATCTAATTAAGACCAAGGATAACCAGGAAAAAAAAATTGCCACTCTACTTCTCTGGGCATATTTCATGTCAACTTTAACTTTTTTCATATACTTCCCACACAACAATTCAAATATGCCTTGATATTTATCTAATCTTTAGAGTCATTTTACTGATTCACTTGTGAAAGAACTGTAATTTTTCATGGCCAGAGATGCAATCCCACAAATATATTCAGAAAATAAAGAGAGCTAAAAATAGCAAACTTCAAAAAATGACAGGGAAAATTCTAATTTTTATATTAATTACTCATGTGAATAATTTTTTAGCTTTTAGCCTTTACAGGAATGCTTATAGACAATGTGCTAATACACTGGTAATGATTTTTAACAAAACTGGAATTATTCTAAAATGCTAGATTCATCTGTGCTAAATGGTCTTCACTGAATAAGAGATACATTAAAATGTTACATACATCAAAACTAAAAACTATTTCTATATATGGATGCTTCAAAAATAAGTTCACCAATAGAATTATTACTGTTCATCAGTGAAATGGTATACAGTCTAAGATCAAATAAATATTTATTGATATTAACCTATGGAATTTATTCTCTAATTACTTATGCTGCTTTCAAATAGAGTAACTGCTCTTAAACTTTTGGGAAAGTAAGACCCATCTGACAATCTTCCTAGAAAAATATACAGTCAAAGAAATTTCTGCAAACAACTTCAGGGTACACAGACCCAATGAAGAACTCCTGATAAAGAATCATACTCTTTAGATAATTTATCTTAACTCTGTACCACTCAGTCAACATATTAGTTAGCCTGACCCTGGCTTCAGAGCACCCTGAAATGCAATTTCAAAAACAGGAAAACATTTAGTAACTTACAATTAATCTGGTTCATTTATTAAGGTTTACTTCAACTGTTAAAAACAACAATAAATCTATTCTAACTTCCTGATACATTAACCCATTATGTTTATAAATATTAAAATTGGCTGAGCAGATTTACAAAGATGTCATGAGCAGGAGGACAGACTAAATTTATTTTATTAACATTGTTGAACAGTACGAAGAGAATGGAAGGAAGTCAGATTAGTACCACTGACCAGGAATATGAAATACTGCCATGTACTGACCATATAGGCTCAGACACCTGCTTTTGAATGAATCCATACACTGGTGAAACTTTAAGCCCTGAAACTGTAATACCAAGAACAATAGCTCTAAAACATTCTATGATACAATGAATAAGACAAAATATAAGAATGGAAGAAAATCAAATGACAATTTTTATTTCATTCCTTAAAATCTGTTCATAACAACAGTCTGACCACTTATAAGTAGAGAGGCAGACTACAACATTTATACTTTTTTCCATTTACAGCTAGAGAGTAGACTAAAATACAAATACAGCAAAAAGTTCCCCTGACATTTATAGGAATTAAGTGTTCTCTGATTTTGTATGTTATTGTTGTTAAGTGCCACTGAGTCAGACCCGAGTCATAGCAACCCCTCCTTGGGTTTCTGAGGCAGTATCACTACGGAAGTAAATTGCCCAACCTTCCTTCTGAGGAGTGGCTGGTGGGTTTGAACCACCAGTCTTCTTGGTTAGCAGTCAAGTGCCTCAGGCACTACGCTACCAGAGCTCCTCTGATTTTGCATAAGAATAAATAAAAGTATAACGAAACTGAAATTATCTAGGAACTTGCTAGTACAAAATAAAGTGTTTTTACAACTTTAAATTTATGTAGTAGATCCTGCAGGATTCAAAGATAGGTAAACAAAGCCCCTATTCTAATGATGCTAAAATGGAGAAACATTAAGTGTATGAAGATGAGAAATGATGAAACCTTCATGCTCACAGCCCTCAAGAAAAGTTTTCATTTACTCCATATGCCCTCTCAAAAACCACATTTGCTGTAAAGCAAACTGTGAATTCACTATAGCTTTAGTAAATAAAAAGGATAAAAAATAATCTCTTCCAAATCTCACATGATTTGGAATGAAAGCATCTGCTGTAACATAAACCAAACAAAACCCCAGAGATAACAAAACAACTTTGCAAAGAAAAGGAAAGATGTGTTTCTTAATCAGTCCCGTTCTAATCTTCAGCAAAGAATACTGATGGTAAATATCATTTGCTTTTATAAAATACAATTCATTGCTTCTTTACAGTGTCTATTTTATGAAGAATTTAAAAAATATCAAGTCTCTGTAGTTGACAAAAGGAACCAGTATTGTTTCCAAGCTATTTCTCTCCCCAGTTAGTTCTTACCAACTTGGTCAAATAGCTATGGTGATTGTCAGTGATTTAATCAAGCAATGTTTTCATTAATCAAGTCAACAAATGGGTCTAAAGACTTGAATTTCAATTCTTTTTTCACTAACTGTCAAAGATATGACATCCATTAAGTTTTTTAAGTCTGACTGTTAACCAAAAGTATAATATGAAACTGTGATATGTCTCAAACTTGCTAAATCTTAGCATACTGACTGTGCCATCTTTTGAAATGTCAAAAGAAAGTTGTCATTTATTTCAATTAAATTCAGCAAACCCTCAGTAGTGGCCTACTTACATATTTAGCACCAAGCTAGCAGTGGTCAAGACTCCAATAAAATATAAACAGAAACAGAATAAAAGGAACCAGTTCTGCACACTTCTTAGGAAAGAGAAATATGTATTTCATCTACCCATTCTATTTCAGAACGAGAAATTAAAGGATGCAACAAAGACCAGAGTGTAGCAATGGAGATATCTCAGCATAAAAAAAGTATAGGTGAGATTTTTTTCAATTAAAAATCCTACGTCCCCTGCTGGTTAACTACAGCACATTGCGTAAAGTTTACTCTGATGCCAACTGTTTCTGAAAAGCATTTTTTTTTTTTCTTGTCCTCAATCTGTCTTCTTTTCAAAGTCTGTCTCTAATCCTCAAACCACGATCAATTGTACTTAGTATTTTTTAATTCTAAGGAACAACAAGGTGATTACTGTTCTCTGAAAGCTAGCAGATTAAAATCTAGGCCCCAGGTGTCCACTTGTCATGCTTTTGACTTGGGGAAGTGAAGAGGACAGCCCACCTTCTGACAGTGTTTACGGCCCTGTATGCAGCTAACAACATTAGCACCAGCCCAGAACCATGTAGAAGAAAGCGACCGTACTACGGGATCTCAGCGGGGTCGCTGCGCCAGATGCCACCCGGTCAGCAGCATATGGGAGGGTAGGGGCTGCTCCGCGGCCCCTTCGAAAGCTCGACGACGGCTTCCTGGGGCCCGGCCACCGAGGGAAAGATGGGGAGGCCAGGGGCGCGGCAGAATCACGCACCGCCCGGAAATCGGGCGACAGAAGAGCCCTGCAGCGATTCCTCTCCGTCTCGGAGGAGCACGTGGGGGCTCGAAGGTGCCGGGCCTCCACAAGCGGCAAGAGAAGAGGGCAGCAAGTGCGGGAGAAGCTAGCGGCTCCCCAAGGGGACGGGCCCCAGAGGCCGCAGGCCGGGGCCAGGAAAAAAAACCTCCGGAGGAGGGGCGTGAGGGTTCAGGAGCCAGAAACACCAGCATCGCCGGCTTGGCGGGGAAAGGTGGGATGCCCGAGTCGGAAGCAGAACGAGATCGGATAAGGGGCCCCGAGGGGCGCTTGCCGGCGCCGAACCCCTAGCTCACCGTGCCTCCGTCCTTAATGATGATCTTTTTGGCCAGCATGATACTGCGGTTCGCGGCCCGTTTTTTCTTCTTCCCCTGGGTCATTTTACCATTCTCGATTCCTGGCGCTGCTGCAGCCACTCCCGGGGCGGCCGACCCCAGCGGCGAGTCCCGTCCCGCCACTACTGCCGGGCCGAGCCGCTCGGGGCGCCCGCCGCCATCTTGAGGGCCCGGCCTGCCTCCAGCAGCGCGTCACATCGTGCGATCTGCCGACAAGCCCGCCCCGCCCACGTGACGCCGCCCCGCCTTCTCGCCGGTGCCGCAGCTGCAGCACCGGACAGTAAGGCTCGGAGGGGGCTACACTGGCTCACTGAGTGTTGCTGGCTTCTTCTGGAGCCTTGTCTTGCGGGTCACCAGCTCGCATAATCCTCCCATCAGTTCAGGGAATCAGTACTGTTGTTGCCCAACTCTCCACAGATGAAAAAATATGTTTCAAGAAGTTAAGTAACCTGTTCATGGGAATGTTGTTGTTATGTGCCGTGGAGTCGGCCCCGACTCATAGCGACCCCTCCTTGGGTTTCCGAGGCAGTATCACTACGGAAGTAGGATTGCCCAACCTTCCTTCCGAGGAGTGGCTGGTGAGTTTGAACCGCCAGCCGTCTGGTTAGCAGGCAAGTGTCTTAGCCACTATGCTACCAGAGCTCCCTGTTCATGGGAATACAACTCTTAAAGGGTTGCCCTGGAATTTTAACCAGACATCCTAAACTATTAGTGCAATCTCCAGGTGTGTTCTCCAGGATGTTGAAACAGTTCATTCCAGCTCTACTCTGTGCTGAAAATGCGTATTTCCACCCTATCCACTACCATTACCATCGAGTCGACTCCCACTCATTCCGACCCTATGTTGTTGTTGTTGCTTGCCGTCGAGTCGGCCCCGACTCATAGCGACCCCTCCTTGGGTTTCTGAGGCAGTATCACTACGGAAGTAGGATTGCCCAACCGTCCTTCCGAGGAGTGACTGGTGGGTTTGAACCGCCAGCCTTCTGGTGAGCAGTCAAGTGCCTTAGGCACTATGGTACCAGAGCTCCTTCCGACCCTATAGGGCAGTAGAACTACCCCCATAGGGTTTCCGAGGATATAATCTTCCCGAAGGCAGACTGCCACATCTTTCCTCCGCGGTGTGGAGCGGCTGGTGGGTTCTACCACCTACCACTGACCTTTGGCTGAGCGCTTTGACCACTGCGCCTCTAGGGTGCCTTATTTCCATCCCAGATATACTAAATCACAATCTACATTTTGACAAGATCCCTTGGAATCTAAGATGGATTCTTAAGAACACTTGCGGATCCATTACAATCACCTGGGCAATCTTACAATGTCGCTTCTGATGCAGTGCCAAAGGCACTTGACTGAGCGGTTCAAACCCACCAGCCACTCCTCGGAAGGAAGGTTGGCCAATCTACCTCAGTAGTGATACATTCTTGGAAACCCAAGGAGGGGTCGCTATGAGTTGGGGCCTACTGGACGGCACATAACAACAGGGTGGAAACGCAAATTCTAAGCGGGAAGTCAAATATGAATGAACCGGTTGGAAGCCCTGGTTCCAATCAAGATGGGAAAGGGTACAGTAAAGGAAAATCTTGTTCCAGAAAGGGCGTAACTGAAGAGGTAAATTGTTTTTTCAGAAGTAGTCGTTTGTTCTTTTGGCACCTCAGGCCACCATGAGAACTCAACTGAAGCATGCCTATTTCCAGTACCTCCCTATTACCAAGACTTTAAAAAAAAAAAAAATTCCCTGTCCATAATAATTTACTTGGCCTACGTCCACTCTGAGAAGCCTTGGTGGCTATAGGGATAACTGAAATTTCGGACCCATCAGCTACTCCACGGAAGGAAAATGTGGCAGTTGAATGCTTCTGTAAACCCTATGGGGCAGTTCTCAGTCTTATTGCTATGAGTCGAAATGGACTGGACAGTGGGTATATCACACTTTGTAAGCCACTACCTTTTTTGCTATATGATACCAAACTAAAACCAAACTCACTGCTGTGGAGTCGGATCCCATTTATAGTGAACCCCTCCTTGGTTTCTGAGGCAGTATCTCCACAGAAGTAGATTGCCCAATCTTCCTTCCCAGGAGTGGCTGGTGGGTGGATTTGCTATAAATCAATTTCACAGGAGAAAATTGTTAGAAAGGACCACTGAAACAGAAGAATATGGACTGCAGATTAAAGTATTATCATAATGTAAAATTTTATTTTGATAACTATACTGTTTTATATGTGAGTATCCTTTTCCTTTTTTGTTTGTTCTACTGTGTTATGTAAGACAGTATCATTTTCCTTAGGAAATAGATAAACCAAATCAAAGCCATTGCCAGGTTGTGTTCTGACTCATGGTGACCCCATGTGTTAAATAGAGCTGTTCCCTAAGGTTTTCTGGGCTGTAATCTTCATGGAAGCAGGGAAGTAGCTTGCCAGGCCTTTCTTCTGTTGCACCATTGGATGAGTTCAAACCACCAACCTTTAGGTTAGTAGTCTAGTACAAACCATTTGTTACCACCCAGGGACCTTTGGTAAAATATACTGAGGTCTTAAAAGAGTGAAGAGATGGATATAATACATGTTATTTATTGGCAGCTAACCTAAAGGTTCATGGTTTGAACCCACTCAGCCACTCCACAGAAGAAAAAATTACAGACAGAAAACCCTATGGAGTAGTTCTATTCTTTAACACTCAGGGTTGCTATAAATTGGGGGTGACTCCATGATAGCTAGCAACAACTATTTTCAAATAGTTAGGAAATAACGTATGAATATATATATATACGGGATAGGGGAGGGAGTGACAAAACAAAATGGCAAAATGTTTAAAAAAAAAAGCTACTCTAGGTTTGATGGTTTTAAGATATGTCCAAAGATTCAGTGATATTCTTTCCCTTGAGAATGGGTGGACTCAGTGACTTTTCTTACAGAATAAAGCAGCAGTGACACAATGACTTCAAAGCTAGGTCATAAAAGGCAGTACATGTTCCTACTAGTGCTGTCTTTTTCACTCACTCTGGGTCCCAGGATTTGGGGGAGGCCAGTTGTCATGTCATGAGGACACACAAGCAGCCTATGGAGAGATCCATATATCCAGTATCTGAAACTGCTTACCAACAAGCCATGTGAATGAGCTGTTTTGGAAATGTATTACTCATCCTGGTTTTCAGCTGACTACAACCCCTACCAACATATCCTTACTGCCACTTAATGAAAGATTCTGAGCCAACTCCTAAATTCTTGACTCACAGAAACTGCGTAAGATTATAAATACTTATTTTAAGCCACTAAGCTTTGGGTAGCAGCCCTGGTAGTACAGTGGTTAAAGGCCTGGGTGCTAAACAAAAGGTAAGCTGTTCAAACCCACCATCCACTCCATGGGAGAAAGATGTGGCAGTCTGCTTCTGTAAAGATTAAAAAAAACCAAACTCACTGTCTGCTTTCAAGTCAATTCAACCCACAGTGACCCCTCCTTGGGTTTCTGAGGCTATATCTCTATGGAAGTAGATTGCCCAGTCTTCCTTCTGAGGAGTGGCTGGTGGGTTTGAACTGCCAACCTTCTGCTTAGCAGTCAAATGCCTTAGGCACTACACCACCAGAGCTCCCTCTGTAAAGATTACAGCTTTAGAAATCCTTTAGAGCAGTTCTACTCTGTCCTCTAGGGTTGCTGAGTGGGAATTGATTCAACACCAATAGATTAAGCTTTGGGTAATTTGTTACACAGCTATAAATAACAAATACAATGCATAAAGAAAAAGTGCAAGTTCTCTGTACTATTCTTGCAACTTTTCTGGAAATTTGAAATTATTTCAAAATAATACATTAAAAAAAAATTTATGAACTTTCTGTTCCTTCAATCTCCATAACAGACTAGAAGTAGAAAATAATTTCCATGGAAAGGAGAAGGCAGGCAACTTTCAGGTACATTTTCTCATCAATTAAGTAAACTTATCATACTTTTTTTAAAAAAAAATTATTTTTCTAAAACTTCAAAGTTGACCTCCAACTTGAAGCTCTTTAGAGAAAGTAATATGAGATATTTTTCAAAACTAAATGTCAGAAGCTTGTTTTGAATGGATATAGAGGGTGGTAAGCCTGTGGTTAGCCTATTATGGATAGAATTGTATCCCCAAAAAATATGTGATGTAGAGGAATAGACAGAAATTTTAGGGGGAAAAAATGATGTAAATCCTAACCTCTTCGCCTATAGCTATAATTCCATTTGGGAATAGATTGTCTTTATTTTCTTCATGAGACGGGATTAGTGTAGGGTGTGTCTTGAGTCAATCTCTTACAAGTTATATTAAGGAAGCAGAGATGGGGTAAGAGATGCCAAGACACACAGAGATCGCAGAAGCTCCAAAGAGACAAGGGCCTTCCACCAGAGCTGACAGCCTGCTCTAGAGCCAGCATCCTGAATTCAGACTTCTAGCCTCTTAAACTGTAAGAAAATAAATTTCTGTTTGTTAAAGCCTCTTGTTGTATTTCTGTTGTGGCAGTACTAGATACACAAATCCTCAAAATCTTATTTCCGCTAGCTGTACCAATTTTATCATCCTTATAACCAACTCAGCGGCAGTGAGTTTGCTTTGGTTTTGGAAGAACTGAATGGTGAACAGAAGCTTTGGTTGTGTAGTGGATAAGGAATTTGGCTGTTAACCAGAAGGTTGGTGGTTCAAACCCACCAGCTGTTCTGCAGAATGAAGACGGGTCGATCTACTTCTGTAAAGATTTACAGCCTCGGAAACCCAGTGGGGGTCACTATGAGTTGGAATTGACTCAATGGCAGTGAATTTTTTGTTTGTTTGTTTAAGAACTGAATTACTGTTCAGTCATTAAAAAAAATAAGTACCTACATATGTCACTTCTTTAGACACTGGGGATACAACAACAGATGAGATCGTATTTATTTGCATGGAGCTTATATTCTAGTGGGGAATACAGTTATAACATAGAAAAGTTTGGAATATAATTATAAATTGTGGTAAGTGCTGTTGGAAATAATAAAGAAAAACTTAATGCATATTCAGTGTCCATAGTATCCCACATTTTATGCTAAGA